ACAGGCGGAGGCGGCGGTTCCTATAGGGTGGCGGCGCCGGCGGAGGGCGGCGGCGGTCAGGGCTGCGGAGGGCGGCGAGAGCGGCGGCGAGGGTGGCGGCGGGGCTGGCGGCATCGATAATGGTGGCGGTGGCGATGACGGTGCCAGCGGACGAAGGGGCTGATGGACGAAAACTGCCGGCAGAGAAGGCGCTGTGGCAGAGGATGGCGGCGTCGACGGAGGCGACGACGACGGAGGCGGCGTCAATGGAGGCGGTGATGACGGCGGCGGCGGCGATGACGGCGGCGATGACGGCGGCCGTGCTGACAGTGGCGGCGTCGACGGTGGCAGCGATGACGGAGGCGGTGTGCTGGCGGTGGCGGCGCTGACGGAGGCGGCGTTGACGGCGGTGGTGCTGACGGAGGCGGCAGTGCGGGCGGCGGCGAAGGCGGCGTCACCCGGTGGCGACAGCGGCGGGGTGACGGGAGGCGAGGGTGGAGGCGAGGGCGGCGGCATGCCGGAAGGCGGCGGCGGCGAGGGTGAAGTCGAGGGCGGAGGCAAGGGCGGAGGCGAGGGCGGAGGCGAGGGTGGAGGCGGCGAGGGCGGAGGCGAGGGGGCCGGCGGCGGCGAGGGCGGCGGCGAGGGCGGCGGCGAGGGCGGCTGCTGCGGCGGCGGTGGGGAGGGAGGGGGCGAGGGCGGCGGCGGCGGCGGCGGCGGCGGCGGCGGCGGCGGCGGCGGCGGCGGCGGCGGCGGCGGCGGCGGCTGGTAGAACCAGCTCTCGAACTCGTTGCTGAAGCCGCACGCACGGTACGAGTAGTGCAGGGCGGCGCCCACCACGTACGCGGTCGTGCTGTACTCGGTGCTGCACGCGGCCGGGTCGACGCAGCACCACTCGTGCTCGCACCGGACGGGGTAGCCGGTCGAGTTGCAGGGCGGCTCGAGCCCGCTGTCGTGCGGGTCGCACCCGTGGAGGCCGTACGTGCCGGGGTACGCGAGGCTCACGCCGTCCGCCGCGACCTCGCCGCTCACGAGGCTGACGCCGGCCGGGTAGGCGGTGAGGCACGGGCAGTCGAGCGGCGACGAGGGCGGCGACGGCGAAGGCGGCGTCGGCGAGGGCGGCGGCGGCGGCGGCGGCGGCGAGGGCGGAGGCGACGGCGAGGGTGGGGATGCGGTGGCGGAGGGCGAGTGCGGCGGCCACGGCGGCGGCGGCAAGGATAGGGCGGCGAGGGCGAGGACGAGGACGAGGGCGACGTGGAGGGCGGCGGCGGCGACAGCGAGGCGGGCGGCGGCGGCGGCGTGGGAGATGCGGACGGTGACGGCGCGGTGACAGCCAGAGCGAGGACGGAGGCGGCAGCAGCGGCCTGGGCGGCGGCGACGGTGGCAGCGGCGAGGGCGGAGGCGATGGTGGTGGTGGCGGCAGCGGCGGCGAGGGCGGCGGCGAGTGTGGCACGGCGGCGACGGCGAGGGCTAGGGGGGCGCGAAGGCGGCAGCGGCGGCAGCGGCGGCAGCGGCGGCAGCGGCGGTGGCGGCGAGGGTGCG